CCCAATTAGTTTCCTAATCTAAAACTGTGCCCACCCTGTAAAGCTGGGTGTCACAGCTTTAGGGTTGCCCATATACTAGGCAAACATTTTATTGTAGAGCCAGACCCTAAGCCCCTTTCTTCTGAGGTAGGATTTGCTAACTTGTCTAGACAAACCTTGAACTTATGTAGCCTAGGCTGCCCTCCAGCTTATGGCACTCCTATCTCAACCTCCCAAATAGCTGTGATTACTAGGCAACTTCTTGTAGTTTTTATTTAACATACATATGTACTCTACAGAGTAGATAAGGATCAATTCTCAATTTGTGAACCTAATCTCTGCTATTTAGTAAGTAGGCATAGATGTAGGGCATGTGAACATAAATGGTCTTTTCCTAGGGCTATGCTTGTGTGCTTTTCTGGCTATCATGGGTGGTTGCATCTACCTTCTGAAGTCACATTCCGTCATATGCTAGCAGAGTGGGCGAGTTTGCAAATCTTCCTTTTTTTAGGAAAAAGGGGAAGAAACAGAAACAATAATGGATTCCTTAGAGACAGAAAAAAGTTGAGGAGAGCTCCTTCTGTGTTTCTTGTACTGTGTCAGCACTGTGGCTTGATTGTCACATTCCACTCACACAGTTGCACATTACCCAACAGAAAAAAAAATAACCAAAAACCCAAACAAACAAACAAACAAACAAAAAACAACTCTTGATATGTGCAATATGTATGAACCACAGATTACTTAAGTTTAATGGAAAAACCAGATACTTACTCTGTGTTTGAATTTGAATAAAGATATAGAAGATGCAAACTAGCCCATACAACAGAAAGCAGACCCAGTGGTTGTTTGGAGATGAGCTAGGAGGCAGGTGGATTAACAAAGGTCATGGGAATATTTGGCAGGTGGGGGCAGGGGATGATGGAAAGTTTTTCTCAGATTCAGTGATAGCTTCATGGATGTCTACAGATGTCACAGTTACAGATTGTACACATTAAACATACACAATTTATCATATCAATGAAACTGTTATATGTTGAACACCTCTTCTGTCCAAGACCTAGGTGGGCTCAGAAGACACAAGAGTATTAAACAAAGACCACAAGTCTCTGTCATTAGGTTGCTTACAGTCTTGTAATCTTCCCATAAGACTTGATGGGAAGACATTACTGTATTTCTCATCTTCCTTAGCAGACAGTTTTTTCTATGTTTGGTACCATGGGGTTGGAGAAAGACATGGTGCCATGTGAACACAACTTAGGGATCTTTGACCTGTTTCAGAAAGGTGTTCTTGAAGAAGTAATGCCTAACTCACAGATGCTCATTTAGGAGGGACTGTTGTCTTCAACTCTTTTCACCTCTGCAAATTAAACCTGATTACAACAGTAGTACCAGACACTCACTATGTAGTGACAACCATGATTTACCTGTAACTAAATACTAGGGTTCCAGATCTTAGCCCTAGAAGATTCTTGCTTGAGAAGCTCTGTGGTCAGCCCTTCTCTCAGTAGGTTATGAATACACCGATCTGAGAACCTGAAGAGTGATCCTGTTTATGTGCCATGTTTGTCCTAGAGGGGAGCAGAGCCTGCCTTCTGGCCTGACCTTGACAGCCTGTGTATTCTCACTAGGGAGAAGATGAGTCCATCACTCTCAAATCCTGCACTCGGCGGAAGACAGACTCCATCGAGAAGAGATTTTGCTTTGATGTGGAAGCAGTAGACAGGTGAGAGGCTGAGGCCTTCTTTTCAGGAACAAATTATTACTACATTTGGATGTCTTTCCTTTCCCTTCAATCGAAGTGTTTCTATCCCTCTACCCTATTCCATTCTTCTGTGTTTTCTGGATGCTAGGTCATTGCGGAAGGTCAGTTCAGCCTCCCATTGTTTAGTTCAGGACTGAATCACTAGGTTTATTTGGTTTTAGTTTAATGCTAGTGCTTCCATGCACAGGAATGTGTGCTATGTCTCGAGGAGGTAGGGTAGATATTTAAAGAAAGCAGTCTGTTTAACCTGATTGTAGCTGGTGCTTGGTGGGTTTTTCCTTAAAAAATTACTGAGATGACTAAATTTGGGTAGAAGGAGTTTTACTGATATAATTTTTAAGGCTTGTAATTATTTTATGTACATACTCAGAAAAGACAACAAGCCACTTGCTTAATCAGCCCATAATAGATAGATGGATGGATGGAAGAAGAAAGAAGGAAGGAAGGAAAGATAGATAGATGAGTAGATAGATGGATGGCTTGTGCTGTGTTCCTCAAGATCTATAATGTCTCACTCAGCTACATCATCCCATGGAATTAGGCTTATTCAACAGGATTCCAGTTCTTTGAGGCACTTTCCATGGCAGTGGGTTCTTTCAGTTAAATCCGAATGCAGAACTTATCTAAGATGCTTTTTTCAAGTCAGCAGTGTTAGCACCAGGGCCCTTAAACCTGACTGCAGTACCCAGGCAATGTCAGGATATATCTTTCTTAGTTTTTTTTTTTTTTTTTTAAAGCCATGGCATTTCACTAAGGTCTGTGATACTTTCTGGAGTTCTAGTGTTTTCCATGTCTGCAGAAGACTTCTTGGGAAGTTGTAGAGAGTTCCTTTGGTTAAAACTTTGGTACATCTGTCTTATGTCAGCTCTTGATAACACGTCCTTGAACCTTCCTACCTCTATCATGTTCATAAAACTTTTGCAAGCAAGGCATGGGGGTGCCCACCTATAATACGCCTCTTCAGAAGATGAGGCAGGAGGATCACCTAAGCTCAGGAATTCAAGACCAGCCAGAGTTTTTATTAGGACTCTGTCTCAAAAACAGAAAAGGGAGGGAGGGGTCTTTGTGGGCTAAAATTGTAAGCCAAGAGTAAATGTCACATACCTAGTATACTGAGTAGACCTAGGGTGTCCATTTCTCCTCAGAACCTGTCTGATTCCTCAGTGGCTTGATGCAATTGGCGTTGGGAAGGGTCCAAAATGAGACTGTTGAGTCTCCACTGCGGAGTGGGATAGACTGGTGGGAATATGAAGCCTTTTCTTTCAGTGTCCCCTGTGGACTTCATAGATTAGGCTACAATTCAGCATTGCTTTTTTGCCCCTCTTGTTTGACTTCAGGGGCTTGTAGATTGCTCACATACATACAGACTGAGATTTGAGTGTATGTGAGGTGGGGTAAAGAAACTACTGTACCTATGACCATTCTGTTATTAAGGAAGATTTGTATTGTAGATATGAGAAAGAAAGAGAGAGAGCAACAGAGACAGAGAGACAGAGACAGAGACAGAGAAAGAGAATGGCCAGAGGCATCTGAAAGAGTCTAGAGCAGAGGAAAATAAAGGAAGTAGACTGAGCATGGCCAGAAGACTGGACATGGGTAGGGCTAGCAAAGTGTAGAAAATAGTAGAGATAGTAAGATAGCAAGACATAGAGACTAGGGCACAGAAAGCAAGAAAATAACAAGAGATAGAGATAGGTAGGTAAGTAGATAGATGATAGATAGATAGATAGATAGATACATACATACATACATACATACATACATACATACGCCTGAGAATAGTGGGTTATAAGGAGGTGAGTAAGCTGGGTAGTGTTAGGGTCTTTAAATGTGTTAACAGGCACCTGTGATACTAAGGGAGCCTGGGGGCTGATATGGGTTTTGATATGCAACCACAGGTAGCCATTTGTCCTTTGAGAGGTAAGGGGAAATGATGCCCTTTGGCATATGGGAGCCAGTTTCACAAGTTCCTAAGGAGTATTGGCTTTTATCTAAGAGCAGAAATCTCCTATAGTTCAGGTTGAGTTCCTTTCTGGATATTTGAACAGCCTGAGACCTGACATTATAAGAAGTAAAAGGTATTTCTGCGGGCTAAGTGGCAGCTGCCTGTGAGCTCTGCTGTAAATCCTTTCTCTGGAGGACTCCCACCCTGTCCTTTTCACCAGTGCCCATCAGCAGGGAGGGGCTATTGCTAGATCTTATTTTCTAGACTATGCCTCCCTCAGATTCCTCTGTCTCATTTGCTCTACCACAGAGGCAGGGGTCAAAGGGCAAGTTAGCACCTAGGAAATGGATGCAAAAGAGGAAACAACAGAAGGGCTGAAATGTTCCCAGAGTGCATTATGGGTAGATTAGATAAGCTACTACATCTGTTGTAGCTGTTAATGTGGTAATGTATCAAAATCCAAGTGTGACTTATATTGTTGAGACTATGAAAATTTGATGTGAGACATACCAGCTGTGTAATCTGAGGTTTGGGATCATTGTAGGGTTAGTGAAGTTAAAATGAGGTTGTTAGGGTAGGCATTGTGCTAATGGTTAAATTGTCATCTGGACACATTCTGGAACAACCTGGGAGAAAGCTTCAATGAGTGATAGTCTAGATTAGGTTGGCTTAGGAACATGTCTGTCAGGAACTGTCTTGATGGTGGTGTGCAACTTTAATTCCAGCACTTGGGAGGCAGAGGCAGATAGATCTCTGTGAGTTTGAGACCAGCCTGATCTGCAGAGCTAGTTCCAGGGCAGCCGTGGCTACACAGTTAAAAACAGCAACAACAACAACAACAACAAAAAACAAAATAAAACCCAAGCTACCTTTTTTTTTTGTATCACGCTACAGATCTAGCTTTTGAAAGTTTATATTTTATATTGGTTAATTGACTGGATTTAACATTTTTTTTCTTGCAGTGGGTCAACCCTTTTTTGTTAGAGTTCAGTGTAAACATCTTGGGTTAAAAATGGTCTTCATGGAAAAGGAGCCTTTTGTGGTAGTCATGTGTGGCTCATTAATACTAACCAGTGTCTTTGTTCAGTCACTTGAATAGCTAACTCCATTGTGCGCTATCTTATGGAGACTAGTGGGCAAATGTAGCAGAAATATTTGTTTAAGCTGGAGAACCATGGTTGTAGTCAATTACCAGCATCTCTGGATTGGTTTGTTTTAAAGAAATTTTTCACAGATGTAAGTGACACATAGATTATTTTCTCCCTAATGTTTTCCATGAGGGGCCACTAGACCATATGGAAAATAATAGAAATAGGAACTACGGCCTCTTCTGATTCACTGAACCAGCATAGTAGTGGGGAGTCAATGTTTATGCTCAGGGAAAGGAAACAATTAGATTTTTTTTCCCCCCTGAAGACTAGCTGACTCCAACAGAAACTCTGTCTGTTATATTTCCCTCCCTAGCACTGATAAATGCAGAAGTGTGGCCAGGACAGCTCACTAGACATGGTTGGGGGACTTGGGACCACAGGTGGAACAGAGACAGAGCCTTGAACTCACTGTCTCCTGTCTCGACCTCTCGAGAACATAAGATTACAGGCCTGTGCCACAGGCCCCCGCTTAGACTCTTCTGACAGACGTCACATGTAGGAAGCTTTAGGAATCTATTGGCTTTTCTTCCATAAAGGGATCTTCTGATCTTCTTAGTGCCGTTTTGAAGTTCCGTAAGTGCTGCACTAGCAGCAGTGAGTTGCCTTTCCTCTAGAACCTTTCTCAGCTCTCACACCCACTGGCAATGCTATCCTGTTTTAGCCTGGTAACACATTTTCTTTGGATTGGCTGGCTAGTTGTTCAGTTTGGAATGTTCTGGGTACTTTTGTTTAATTCTGTTTATCTCAGATGATTTGCTTTTAGAGGTAGAAAACCATATTTTTTTGTAGCCTTTAATATAGTACAATATGTATATGATTTCTCAATTTTGTTTTTATGATGAATACAGTTTTGAAATTATATACATACAAATATATATATATATATACATATATATATATATATATATATATATATATATATAATATTTTTTTGAGACCTTGTG